AAGCACGCCTGGACGGCGTGGCAATAAGCCTACAAGAAAATTCATATCTCTAGACCGACCAATGTGGTTTATATTTATTTAACTGTTAGTATTAAAGTGTATCCTGATACTCGGACCAAAATAATTTATTTATTGATGGGATGTGGAATTGGAACGAAATAGCGAGATCTTTTGATTTCCGAAATATCGCCAAGACGCCAACTGTATCGAGATTGTTGATTATAAAGGCCTTATCAAAAAAATTAAATCCCGTCAAGACTATAAAATTTCCTGCAAGATCTCAACGATCATGGTATATGTCAAAGTCTAGCTGTCTGTTGAAAATCTACGGTATTACAGTAAAGTCATACATCAAAGATAAGTCAAAGGATAATATATTTACGTCTTTCAATGAGCACTGTTTAGCCTAGTACTGTGTTTATACCACATTTATAAATTTTATAAACAGCTTTCGTTTTGACACAACTCACAAGCTTTAAATTTTCTGCTTTATATATATTCTTAATAATACAAGTGAGATTTAAGTTTTTTGCTTTGTGGAATAGAATACCGTTCTTTTTTTAATGGACAGCTCGTACTGATCGTCTCTATCATATCCAGGTTTGCTTGTGTGTAAATAGCCTACATGTATCACTATATATGCCACTATCAAATAAATATAGAAATATAAATGAGCTTATTGAACTAGAAATAAACAGATGATTGAGACACAATGAAAACTGTTGGTAGCCTTAGTAGAAGTAGAAAACTCGAAAATTTATGTGTATTCGTATGGCAGTCTGTGGCTGTGCGCGTCTGACACTGTAAATTTGTGATGTAGATTATAGCCTAGTTGTCTGTATATTAGGAAAATATTATCAGACCAAGAAAAAGGCTAAAGCCTTACTATAATTAATGAATACGAATTATGTACTAAATCCAAAATTTTAAAGATAAATCACTGACAGACATTTCTCTGTTTGGCTGGTATCAAATGTTTACATTTGCTGATATTGGGCTCTACTCTCTAGTCCTAGACAATACAATACAATACAATACTGTTTATTTTAAAAATCTTATAAAAAAGACGTGCAAAGCATAGCAACGTTTACAAGAAAGGACAAATCTAATGCGTGTTTTAAAAACATTACATATGTGAAAAGCCCATACACTGTGAAAAGCCCATAAAGGTCCACAAACGTTTGTTATAACACCGCGCTGATAATAACACGAGAGAGCACTGCGAATAACGATTTGCTTGGTTTCTTGACTTGACTGTTGGTAAAAATGTAAGAATGTTCTTGTATTAAAATTCAAAGCAAAAAATAAACAAAAATTAGTAAGTATTTTGAACTTACTGGAGTAGTTGGCAAAATTTTTGTTTTTAACTGTTTGTAATTTGATACTTTCACCACACCCCCTCGGGCGATCAATTTTGGACGAGGCACGTGACCAGCCGATACCAGGGTCTTTCCTAAAGACCCTGGGAACGAGGTTGGGAGGCGTCCAAAATATGCACGACGTTCGTGACTCATGCAATTGAACTACATGTATAATTATTTAAGGTTTTCTAGACGGAAATTTCGAGTGTAAATTTTTATTAGACCTATAAACATCCTGATATTTACCCATACACCTTACATTGGTATCAGCTTAGTATATATGTACTTGTTTATTAAGAGGCAATTTTTTTCAATGTCACGTATTTGCATGCAATGAAAAGTGTTCAAAACCTAAAATATTTTTGGCGTCCCTCTCAACTTACTTTACTTTCCAGTTTATAGAGTTAGCAACCTTTTTAAATGCATCTGCCGGTTGAGAAACATAAAATAATAGGTAAAAGATGTTAATTTAAACACAATTATCAATGATGCTTTAAAATTGATGCCACATTTATAGTCATATAAGCAAACTTACTGAACTTCAGACGTCATTTTCTCTTTGGCGTATCACAGTCTAAAATCTCTTCATTTTGGCATTATTTTACAGATAAAGCACTAAACAAAATGTTTAAGTTTGTTTGCCGATTGAGAAACGTATTAAAAAATAAAAATTTTGAATTTAGTCATAACCTCAAATGATATAGCATACGCATTAGTTTTGAGCGCGTGTTACATAACATACAAAAAAATCTCCTCTTAATTAACATTCAAAATACGAACACACCCTAAATTCCTAAAACTATATATGTGATTGTACTCATTTTCATGTGACGTCGCTTCAGGTTAAGTTCACTATTCTTTGCTTCTTGCGAGGGATAAATTACTGTGAAAAAAGCGTACGGAAGATTTTTGGGATTAGGAAATCCCGGCAATTTTTCTCGGGATATTTTTTCCGAAATTTAAGGGATTTCGGGATTTTTTTCAGCTGATTTTTTCGAAATATTTCCCCTTATATTTATTCGCCGAACTTTTTCCGAAATTTTTTGCGACATATATAATCCGTCGTATAAAGTCATTTTGTTGGATAATATTTATACATAAATGTTCAAATTCTACAATAATGTTCGAATTGACACCGACTATACCACCAGTTGTGAACGTTAGCGTTCAGTGACAATAACGCTTGAATCGAAAATCTGCGAATGGAAAAAGTCAATCGAAAAGGTCTCTTAGACTTAGTGATATAAAATAGAATCCATACAGTTTCAAAGTCGATGCTATATGCATTTTTATAAGCATGCACCAAAAATCGTTACGCGTTTGAAATTAAAACTTAGCGATGACGATTTAAAATATTTAACGAAGCATTAGAAATTAACATCGTAATTATTTATCTAAACTCTAAAAACAGGGTCGACTGAGAAATTAGCAAGAATCATATATTTCGCGCCTGCTCGCACGAAATTTCTGACCCGTCACGCTTGGTCAGGTATTTCATTTGACACCGGAAAAAAAATTTGGTACCCCCCCCCCTAGCGACGCCCCTAACCCCCCCCCCCACACACACACACACACTCTTTTGGGCTGGCTACGCCCCTGATTCCATGTTTTATTGCAGTTTTGGAAAATGTTCTTTATAAATATTCCATACAATCCTGAACCTTCTGTTTTTCTGGTGCAATGATGTCCACAACATTTTTCATGCGGTCTTGTAGGAGTTCAATATTTTTGTAGCTTTCAACTGTGTCAGGATGATCTTTCCCATAGAGGTTTAATCTAATTTGATGAGCGTGTTGAAGTGACTCTACAGCTAACTTGTAATCTTCCATATCATATTGTGTCTCTCCAATGATATCATAACTTCGAACAGTAACAGGATGATTCTCCCCAAACAATTTTAACCTGATTTGTAAAGCGTGTTGTTGCGACTCTAATGCTGACTTGTAATCTTTCATCTCACGTTGTGTGATTCCAAGGCTGCAATAACTGCGAGCAGTGTCAGCATGGTACTCCCCGTGCAGCTTTAATCTAGTTTGTAGAACATATTGATGTGACTTCAATGCTGCTTTGTAGTTTTTCATTGCACGTTGAGTGACTCCAATTATACGATAACTTTCAGCAGTGTCGGAATTACATTCTCCATACAATTTTAATCTAATTTGAAGAACATGTTGATATGACTCCAACGCCGACTTGTAATCTTTCATCGCATGCTGTGTGAGACCAATGTTGTTATAACTTGTAGCAGTGTCAGAATGGTCTTCACCAAACAACTTTATTCTGATTTGAAGGGAATGTTGATATGACTCCAACGCTGACTTGTAATCTTTCATCTCATGTTGTGCTGAACCAATACTGTAATAACTTCGAGCAATGTCAGAATGGTATTCTCCAAACAACTTTATCCTGATTTGAAGAGAATGTTGATATGACTCCAACGCCGACTTGTAATCTTTCATCCCATGTTGTGTAACTGCAATGTTATAATAACTTCGAGCAGTGTCAGAATGGTCTTCTCCAAACAGTTCTAATCTGATTTGAAGAACATGTTGATACGATTCCAACGCTGACTTGTAATCTTTCATCTCATGTTGTATGTTTCCAATGTTGTTATAACTTCTAGCAGTGTCAGAATGGTCTTCTCCAAACAGTTTTAATCTGATTTGAAGAGCATGTTGATGCGACTCCAACGCTGACTTGTCATCTTTCATCTCATGTTGTATGACTCCAATGTTGTTATAACTTAGAGCAGTGTCACAATGGTCTTCCCCGAACAGTTTTAATCTGATTTGAAGAGCATGTTGATGTGACTCCAATGCGGACTTGTAATCTTTCATCTCATGTTGTGTGTTACCAATGCTGTCATAACTTAGAGCAGTGTCAGAATCATCTTTTTGTTTCGCTGCCAATGCTGAATCGTTCATTTTTATTTCTTCTCTTTTACTCTAATAACAGAATGTAGCATGGTTGGTAAGTTATATTATCGTTTGAGAGCATTTCATCTGCGATCTGCCTAAAAATGCCGTTGGACGTCCAGGGCCGTCCTCAGGAAATTCTTCAGGTGGTGTAAGGTCGATTTCAACCGACTGACGAACGAGCTTGTACCGACCACATGCTAGCCATAGCCGCCGGGAAGCTTGCAAAATTTCCGATGTAGGTCAACTAAATTCAGGGACTACGCAGCCAGTTTTGGATTAAGGGGGCTATAGGGAACGCTGAAGGCGTGAGTTTGTTAGGGGTCCCCGGGAAATTTTGAAATCTGAGACCTCCCATATATATAACCGGTCCACTGCAGAACGCCAACGCTCTCCCATTTACGCCATTGACGAGTAAAATCAGTCGTCTCTATCGTTATATATAGAGTAAAATAATAATGTAGGGCGCATTAGAGCGCAATAGAACTTAATGCGTCAAGTACTCATAGTTAATATTAAAACATGAGCAGCCGATCTTTATATGATATACAAACTCGAGCCAAAGGCGAGAGTTTGTATATCAGATAAAGATCGGCTGCTCATGTTTTAACTAGTACTTAAAAAACGACCCATCTTATGAGTTCATTGGCGAAGTAATTTTAAAAATAAACATTGTCTAAGCCGAGAAAATCAAAGCTGAAGTTTATGTTAATCAGGACAAATCTTTCTCCGATTTACAAACATCGATTAAACATTAATTTCTTTTGAATTTTCTGAGTATAATTGAATGAGTATAATTTAAGAACGGTCAGTGATTCCATATAGCTCAGAAAACACATTGTCGTCATTGTTGAAACGTGTGAGATATGGATACACTGTAACTGCCATTTCTTATTTATCTTTCGCACAACACTATAAAGAGGGCCCTGAAGGGGTAAAATGGGAACTGGGATTGATCTATTTTTAGACTGGGAAAATGGGATTTGGGTTGCTGGGACTGGGATTTGGTCACTGGGAATGGGAAATGAAGTCCTCAAAAATGGGAATGTGATTGAGGTAATGCGAGTCGATTCCCAATTTTTCTACGTTTTAAGCCGTATTTTAAAAAAACAATTTTGATCCGTTTTTGGTGTCTTTGGTCATGATTTTTGTTGTTAACTGTATTATTCACAGCACTACCTGAGAACAGGCATACTCTGGCGCCCGAAATTCTGGGTTTTCTGATTATGCATGTCTCAGAATGCTGCAAATGCCATTTCCGGGATTCAAATTTAAAAATTTTCCGTGCCTTCGGCACGAACCTCCATCCCCCAATATTTCATAAAGTGTTCGCCACTTGCACACACGGTGGCTTAAAAGTCTTAAAACTGTTTATTGTACCGATAAATAAAGGGGTTTATATTGACTGGGATTTCAATAACTCGGACTGGGATTTCTAATAAAAATCCAACTGGGACTGGGATTTTGTCAAAATTTCAGGTGGGAAATGGGATTGGGACCCCCCCCCCTTCAGGACCCTCTATAAAGGGATCTAAGCCGCTCGAAACGTTGAAATTCTCCTTATATTTTTCAGGTAATTGCATCCCTACCAACGAAAGCTTGTTCATATTCATGATTCATGGGCTATTGGCACAACCTACACTGACATTAACACTGACACAGACAGTTCAGTATTATTTCATATAACCATGCATTTTAATGGGACAAATTATAGGTGAAACAGTTCGTTGTCGATAAAGAATCTCTAATACCGTAATGCGTGCAAGAGTATTTTCCTTAAACGTTTATTTACCTGCTTATCTATTACAATATTTTTCACGTCCTCGCAAAGATCCTTGTTGATATGAGATCTGCATTAAAACAATATTAAAATGTTTGAAATCTTCACGATTATTATGCCATTTTGCCAATGCAAATTTTTTCTAGTTTATTATTCTTTCTAGTTTATACGAGATTGCTAGCATTCCCAAGCATTCCCATAAACTATACATTCGTTTAAATCCTCAGGAAAAATTTACATAGTGTGGGCCTGTGAACGAGGATGTTTAGTTATAAGATAAAAACCGAGTTGGAAGTCTTATATTTTGAAATTCAAAACGCGCGCGGCACGAGTTATATTTTTTATAAAACATCTATAGGAGGGCCCCCTATACTTTTTGCGTGAAGCGTGATGGGCTTATTTTACTTAGCCGTGAAACGTGATCGATGATTTTCTTAATCCGTGATTCGACTTCCAATCTTTTTACGTGCACGTGAAGGAAAGATTCGATTTAACCGTGACCCGTGAATGGCAGATGGAAATATGCGGGATTCGTGAATCATCTGTTTTGTGACCTTTTGTGTGATCAGCTTTCCAAGTAATAAATACGGTTTGTTGCTGTTTTTTGAAGTACTTGATGTACAGAAGCCTGTTTTCGACATAGTTGGAGGTTTGAAAGCATGTCGAGGTAAGTACAGACGAGTACAATGATTCTACAATTAAGGAAGACATCCATATAATAATTCGTGAATTTTGTTTTATTTTTACGTGAATCGTGATCACTTCAATTTTTCCGTGAACGTGAAGGAATTTTTTCAATTTTTCGTGACTCGTGAAAAGGCAAAATATTTTTACGTGAAAGCATATTGTGAAGAGGTATAGGGGGCCCTCCTATAGCATACCTCTTGTTTATGGCTTCCTTTGTTTCGTTCACCTCCACCATGTTTTCGATCTCCACTTTCAATCCTTCCACTTTAATTCCAACCTGTGAAAATTCTTCCTGCAAGCGTTCTTTCATCCTTCCAGATTCATAATCTGCTAAGACTTCCAGAAATCTCTCGTCTGTAAAACAATGTAATAGAACATGCAAACACTTTGGTCGGATACCTCGAACTTCTTGGTCATCTCGTTCACCACCAAGACCTCTTGTAACCGCACTCTCGATTAGTGGTCTTACTAATTTATAACCAACGTAGAGAGCACCCAGGGAGACTACAGCGATGCACGCGTCTCGTGCTACTTGTACATTGTTAGTGTCGATGGTGATCGAAAAGTCACCACTAACAGCGTTCCACGCTACACGATCACTTAGAGCCTTCCCAGCTTCCAACGATTCTGCCATAACAAAATTTGTTCTAGAAATAGAACAGAAATTGGTCAAATGCTAGCCTCTATTGACGTTTGTACAGGTATTTCAGCGTGCGTAAGCTCTTCGGAAGTGGGTGGTTTTACAATAAGAATCGCGCTATATATATTACTTACTGTCAGAATGCTAACATCACACGTACTTTCAACTCCATTTTATTTAATCGAATTACGCCAATATATAGCCCCCCCCAGTCAACCATTCTGTGCCCCCCCCCCCCCCCAGTTGAAGTACCTTTTTTCTAAAATATAAGCGAAACATTGGACGAAAAATGCCGGAATTTAGAAGGGAGGTTTGATCAGTGGCGTAACCGAGGGGTGTTTGGGTGCTCAGTGGCGGGGGGCCCCAAGCCTGGGGGGCCCCTAACAAAAATGACCATAAAATTTTTCCTAGTACATTAGGCAAAT